ATGGACCCCCGAAGGTGACGGGCAGATCGATCTGCCCAAGCAGAATGGCCTGCTTTCTAGGCACGATGCCATAGAAAGGCGCTTCGGTTGGCCAAATGCGCACTTGGTCGACACCCATAGCGTCGAGCGTCTCGGCGTACATGATGTTGAGGCCGCTGCCTCCATCCATCAGTACCTTGGTGAGTCGCTTTGTGCCGACGATCGGGTCAACCACGAGTGGGTACCTCCCCGGTTGTGGGACGCTTTCTGGGTGATTGGTCCGATCGAAAGTTATGGCGGACTCTGACCACTGGAGGAAGGTAGGCATGGTCGGTTCGGTCGTATAGACCTCGCGGTGCGTGACCTTCTGACGGCGCTTAGAGTCATAGGCCGCCGACCCTCCAAAGATCATGAGGCAGCCATCCAGCATCGGAAAGCCGTCGTCCTTCCCCTCGGCGTCGTCCGTGGTCGGGTCAGGGTCCTTCCTGTGCTCCCCTTTGTTGGTGCCTCCGAACAAGAACTGCTTCATGAGGCCATAGTCCTTGTACAGATGCTTGACGGGGAAGGCATGGTTCGGGCATGGCCCCTCGAGTAGTTTTTTGAAGTGGTTCGGAGTGCCCTCCGTGGGCTTCCGACCACCCCTGCGGTCAGTGGCGGCCACGAGCGAGCCCTCACGTCGCTGCTTGTTCTTTTTCTTGGTGGGACGATTGGAGGCTCCTTCATCGGCGTCCTCATCCCGCCTCGCCTTGCCCTTGAGGCGGTCGAAGATCGCTCCGACTGCTTCTTTGCCCGAGGCGTGGCTGGTGGCGATGTTGAGGAGTTCCTTGGTGGTTCGCGGGCCCTTGCGTCCCAGCTTATAAACCAGGGACTCGCAAGTGGTCCTAGACAGGAAAGCTCCTATAACGTCGGCGTCGGCGACGTTAGGTAGCTCGTTACATTGCCGGAAAAAGCGCCGGATATACCCGCGGAGGGTTTCTCTGGCCTTCTGTCGGTAGTTCTTTTGGTCTCATGGGTTCCTAGGACGCTTGTATGTGCCCTAGAAGTTTCCCACGAAGATCTCCTTCAGGTCCACCCAACTTTGGATTCTGTTGGACGGAAGGTGTTCCAACCATGTTCGTGCTGAATCGGCCATGAACAATGGACGGTTGCGGATAATGAAATCGTCATTATTCGCACCACCGGCTTGGCAGGCAAGTCGATAATCCTTGAGCCATAGTCCAGGGTTCGTTTCCCCAGAGTACTTCAGGATGTTGGTTGGTGGTCGGTACCTTGGCGGGAAGACAGCATTGAGGATGTGTCGGCCAAAGGCCTAAGGCCCCGGCAGGCCGGGGCTCGGGCTTCGGTCCTCGCTGCTGTCGTAGCGTCCGCCACGACGAGGGTGATAGCCACGGCTAGCTCCCTCTCTCGAGTCATCGTAGGTACGCCTGCGGGCGTCAAGGGTGTCGCGTGCGTCACGGTTGCGGCTGAGACACTGATGCACCGGAACCGCGGTGCGCTGCCTACCGCCTTTTGGCGCCTGATGGACTGACGCGTCCCTACCGGGACGCTCTGAGGGCGTGCACTGGCTGGCGTCGAGCTCGCGTCGCCAAGACAACGAGCTCTCAGCCTGCTGCGCCGTCGCACGCTCAAGCAGCGTGCGAATCTCGCTGTGGGCCCGACAATCCTTGGGCGTCGCGGCCTCTGGAAGACCATGGAGCAAGGCCGCCGCAGCGGTGATGTTCTGGCTCGCCCAGGCGAAGTGACGGAGGGCTTCATCGTCCGCGATGATCCTCCGGTTCACGTCGCGGGCCATGGCGCGTGCGCGCCCACCGTCTCCGTGGCGCTCGATCTCCCGATAGAGCTCCGCGCGTTCTTTCTCGAGCTGGAGTTGCGCTTCCTCGAGCTCTTGGTGTCGGGCTTTCAGCTGCTCCACCCGCATGCGAGGTGGGGCCACTGTCTCCCCCTCGGCCTCGTCGTCGAGGTCATTCGTTAACATGGTTGATAAGTAGTAGAACCACTGTAATTTGAAACTGTACCACCTGCATCAATATATTCTTCACAATATCGATTTATTCAGCCACCTCAATGACATGCCACACTTTTCAATGCCTGCTGATGCTACCCTGTTAGATTTTTTTAATCTCTGTTGATGTTACACCTATGATGGGAACCGAGACCGAAAATGTTAGTCTATCATCTGCTATTGCAACCTTACCAATGAATATGCCAAGCAGGTTATGATGTGCTTGATTCTGCAATAACAAACGGGATAAGGCTCATGCCTTTTCCATTAAGAAACAAGAGGAAAAAGTCATCGATTTATTCAACCACCTGAATGGCACATGCCACACTTATCAATTTCTGCTGATGCTTCACTGTTAGATTTTTTAATCTATGTTAGATTTTTTAATCTATGTAGATGTTACACCTTTAATTCTCACCCACAGTGAATATGTTAATCTGTCATCTCCAATTGCAATCATATCTATTATTATGGCAAGCAGGTTTTGAGGTGCTTGATTCTGCAATAACAAATGGGATAAGGCTCATGTCGTTTCCATTAAGAAACAAGAGGAAAAAGTTATGTACCATGGCCGCTGGACAATGCTCGAAGAATACACAGGATGCTGCTCCATGTCAGAGGGCTAGCTGTTCCAACTATTATGAAGCTTTGTCATCCAGTCAAAGTTGCTCAACGCTTGACTATACAACTACCGGTGATCACGTGCAAAGGTCGTTCAACTCAGTTCTATCAAGTCTCGACGATATGCCACATTATCTAAATGTTAATCTTCGTGTTGCCACGGCGATGTCTCAGTTCTACTCACTTCTTAGGAAACTGAAGCCATGTAGAGGGTTTGATCTGAATGCTTCTGCCTGTGATGAAACCTATCCATCACAATCTGCGCTGCTGCCGGCGGTGAGGATAGGAGAAGGCTGCAGGCGCTGAGCGGGAGGATGGCGGTGGGTGTATGGCTACTCCCAAGCGTGTGCACAGCTCCGCCACCCAACCGCGGAATGCGAGGGGACAGTTCGCGTCCACCGAAAGGGGTGGTTCAGCTCGGGTCTCTGCCTCTGCTGTTGGATCTACTAAGTCCCGCCGGACGCCCGTGGTAGTCGAACAGGTTGAGGAGGATGTCAAGCCCAACCTGAAATCTCTTGTCCGTCAAACTCGCAGCATGTCTCGGGGCGCCGGGTTGAGCACGAAGCCCTCCCAATCTAGCTCCAGAGGCGGTACAAGCAACAACAGCAACAAGAAGCAGGTAATCGCTAGTGAGACCCTCATCTCGCTTACTGTTTTCTAAATCATGCCCCTTATCTGTGTCCATTAGTTTCAGATTTCCAGTTAGCAACTTCTAAGTTTGCTTGTATGTTAATCTTTAGAATTCAAGTACCGTACCTTCCATTCGGTTTCCAGGTTTACTCGCTAAATTGTTTCTTTAGGCTTCTGTGAAGTACATCGACAGCTACGCTTACGAATTGCGCATGGAATTGCTTCCCAGTAAACTACTTTGCACACATCGGATGCATATGAATGCCGAAACATGGAATCAATTTCTGCAATAGTTATGTTTATTGCACGGCAGACCTCTAATTATTCAGAGCACGTCATATTAAAGTTGGTCATATATTTATTATTTACCATCATCATGTGTTATTAGTACTCATGAACTAACTGCACTATTCTTTGTATGTTCCCTTAAGGAGATCAATACCAACCAAGGTGAGTACTATGATGACTCTGATGTCAACAGTGTAGATGATGCCATGTCTGAAGGCGAGCATCGTTATGATGGGTACGAATCACTTGAAGAGGAGGAGCAGCAGATGATGGTTGAACTCCGGGAGAAGTTCGACATCGCAGAAAAGAAAATATGCAGGGACATTGATGATGATCCAGAGAAGTCGAAGCAGAATCTGAAGAAGAATCTGAATCGGCTCTATAATAGCATTGTCTGCGTGAGGCTCATGCCGAAGTATGTCAAGAAGGAGGCATCGAAGAAGAAGAAACGCTGAATCGTCTGGACCACTCCACTCAGCAAGTCTATGATCTGGCACGGTGTTTTGGCTCGTGTTCTATCTCAAGTTGGTTATCTATGTGTCAGCTCATATCCTAGTTCAGGTCTTACTGTTTAACATAAATCTTTGACAAGTTTGTCGCAGAACTCTCAATGTAATGGTCCTTCTAGCTCCGCACTTGCAGCTATGTTCATGGCGTTAACTAGTCATGGTTATAATCATGTAGCACTGCCTATTTCTCTGTGGTCCAGTATGTCGGTTTAATTACAATTGTTTATTGCTTTTTGGTTTCTGCTCCCCCCTCTTTTCACAAGTTCAAATGTTTTGCTGGTACAAATGCATGCTTGAGTGCATGCTTCAATCTCCTTTCCACCCCAGTACTATATTATATCATTTGTCCTGTGCCCATTTCTTCTGCTTGAAATTTAATCAACAAACCCAGGCAACATTGGTACATTTGCCATACCAGGAACCTGTGGGATCTGTTGGTTCATTTAGCATATGCCTTTGCAGTTCTTTGATATGTCCACAAAGATGCAATTCCTAAGGACTAGTATAATCTCACGCCATACTTCATCGTTGACTAAACTTAGGTTTTTTCTTGTCAGACTCCTACATTTGACAAATTAACATTGCACAATACAAACTAGCCGCATAGGAGTTTCGTCAGAAACCTTCTAATTCAGCAACTACCATAGATCCACATAAATTTGAATTATGCAACAACTAGAAAGACATAGCAGAATCGGTTATTTCCAATGACTCTCAACCCTAGGTTGCACTTCCCCGCCACATGCTGCTCTAAATAGGCAAAGTCACCATCAACTATGTAACCTGCATTAAATCAGTCAACCTTCTCGTTTTTTATGGCCTCTTCCCCTCTGCGCCTGTATCTTCTTTTGCGATATTTTCGTCTTCATTCCTTCTGTTTTCCTTTTCTAGCTTGTAGTGTTTGTTCCAAGATTTCAGCGACGTGTCTCTAGGCCTGCCTGCTCTTTTTGCCCTCGGAGGGCATGCAATTGTCAACTCATGAGACGGGGCACATTAGATGTCTCATCATTAGCAGCTGAATTGATCGTTTCGATGGAAGCTTGCCTGACTGGTACGATGCTCTCCATTGCACGCAGAGCATCGCTATATGCTTCGTCATTGATCGACCCTTTAGTTAGTGACAGCTCCAGTGTTTTCATTACAAGGACTCGCCTCTTCAGTTCATCACTCTGTGCTGTTATTTGTTCCATTACTGAACATCCCGACCCAGCATTGATATCTGGACCTGCTTCTTTAGTCCACCTCTGATGTATACTTCCCTTTGGTATCTCTGTCCTGTCTAAATGCACCAGCACCTACACAGAAATAACTCATCAAACAAAACAGAGCTACTTCTATGTTTTCGCTTATTGTTCATGACTCACTTACAGTACTGCAATCACCAGGAGGAATGTACATAGCATAATATCATTGACTTGCACACCTTTTAAGCTGTGCCTGCATGGTAGTCCAGCATGCTCATAGAGGCCGCAGCTGCACTTGATATTCTCAATTCCTGTCAAAATGACATTGTACTGCCTAGCTTCTTCAGCACCGAGTTCATTCGTGTGTACTGTTGTAACACGGCCTCCGAGAGTGGCGGAGACCTACGCGGCCAGCAGTTCGCAAAGACGTCTCCGATCAACTACCTAAGCAAAGGCCTAGCTACCACGCCTCCAGACCCAGAAAGATAACGGTTTCTCAGACTGCTTGCAGGACGCTGCCGGTGACCCTAGCGCAGCCTCCGCCCGGTTAGCTCGTAGGCGTCTCCGGGCGGAGGGGGCGGAGGCCGCCCCGCTGCAAGGCTAATCAAGTGCCAACGTTACCTATGTGTGTGTGCAGGTAACCAGAGGAATGCGCTCGTGGACAGCGCGGGCTCGCCGGTTCGGCCTCCGCTCGTAGGGGCAGAGACCCAAGCAGGAGGACGGCAATACTGGGCGTCGGGGGTCTGCGGCCTCGGCGTCCCTGGGGCGGAGACCGACGGTGGAGGTCCAAAGGCCCGTCGCCGAATCCTGAGGCCTGATGAGGCGGAGACCGACGGCGGGGGTCCAAAGGCCCGTCGCCGAATCCTGAGGCTTGATGGGCCGGCTGATCGCACAGGCCCAGTACCTGAGGGCGGCATGACAAGATTACCAACGAGAGGAAAGGCGAGTAGTGGAATATTCCGAGAATGTACTGTAGCAGTTGAATGGTACTATTGTAAACTCTATAAAGTGGTAGTTGAGCCCTATAAATAGGAAACATTTGTAACAGTACGGGAGGTTGGTGAATGAATTAATGAAACCCTAGTTTTACGTGCCATTTCCCTACACGCCCGCTTGTCGTGTCTGTTTCCCGAGCCTCAGCCTGAGGGCAGCGCTTGGCGGGCGGAGGCCTCCACCTCCTCCACATTGTCTGAGACCGCAAGTCTCAATATTGGCGCCCACCGTGGGTTGGCCAAGGCAAACCAACGATGGCAGGGAAAAGAAAAACCACCACTAGAGCAGCAACGACCACGGGTCAGCGAGGAAGGCCTAGGCGCATCACTCGTAGCACCTACGCAACCTCGCCAGCGGAGGATGACACCAGAGCAGATGCCTAGGGTCAACCACCGGAACCCCAAGATCCAGAGATTCAAGATCCGGAGGCTCAACCAAACTCAGCCACAACACTCGAGCAAGAACTGCAACAGCTGCAAGCACAGTTGCAAAGAGCGCAACAAGAGAGGGACAGAATGGCAGCAACATTCGCAGCTAATCAGCAAGCTATTCAAGTGTCAGCACAAGCAGCAGAAATAAGGCAGCAGTTGGCAGTCCTACATGCTGAGATGCTAAGTATGCAGCATGCAGTACCAGTGTCAACCTCCGCAATCCCAGCCTCCGCAGCAACACCAACTGTAACCATACCACAAGGGCCTCCGTCAGTGATCAGCCTGCCCACGATGCCATCTCAGGTGATGCGGAGGCCTATCGATCCCAAGTCCCCACTCTCTGAAGGCTTACAACAGTCGCCATGGCCAACGGCGTACAAGTCAATCACACTACCAAAGTTCAATGGAAAGACAGACCCCCATCAGTTCATTATGAGTTACGAGGCAGCAGTAGCCTCCGCCGGTGGAGACGACACCGTCTTGGCAAAGTCATTTGTCATTGCAGCCAAAGGCGACGCGTTGGCTTGGTATTCTATGCTCAAACCAAGCACAGTCTATTCTTGGGAGAACCTCCGGGACAAGATATTGGCAAACTTCAAGGGGCTAATAGCACAGTCACTAACTTCCACAGATCTGTTCCAGTGTAAGCAAATGCAGGGAGAGACACTACACGACTACTTTCGGAAATTCGTGCAACTAAAGAAGAAGGCACCAGATGTCCCAGACGAGATTGCCATTGAAGCAGCGATCAAAGGCCTCCGAATCGGGCCATTCGCAGCACACCTAGCAAGAAAGAAACCAACTTCCATACAGCAGTTGTATGACGAGTTCGAGAAATACTGCAGATCAGACAATGACCTCCGAAAAAGGCTAGAGGAGCAGGGTCAAAACAGACAGCAAAACAGCAGCAAAAACTCCTAGAAAAGCTATACGAACCAGAATGCATCAAATCAGAAACCAGGCCAGGGGCAAGTGCTCAGCATCGAGGGTCAACCTTACCCCGAACAAGGGCAACTGGCAGCACCAGCAGGGCCGGAGACCCAGACCAGGAACCAAGGTCGGCAAGGTTACCAAGGCAAAAACTGGAACAAAAACCACAACTAGAAACAACGCAGGCCATATTGCGTTTTTCATGGCGAAAGCGCAGAGCACAACACCAAAGATTGTCCGGAGAAAAAAGAGACACAGGAAAGGATGAAGAACAAACAGACTGCCCAACCTTCGACACAGCAGAGCGCAAGAGAGGTCAACACCACCTACACAAATGGCCACCAGCAGTACTGCCCAATCTACCCAGCGCTAAACGCAAACCAAATACATCCCTCCACACTGGCCTCTGCCTATTACCCAAACTTCCTACCAGCATGGCGGTCAGCGCCTTCGTAGCAGCCTCCGACGGGTAACTACAGGTCAGAGGCAAGCTTGACCTACTTAAACCCAAAATCTCCCCACATAACCTACCTCGAAACAAACCCACCGCCACAAAACCAAAGCAGGTTCGAGCCTCCATCGCAACAGCAGCACATGCAGCAACTGCCTCCGCCGCCACCTCACAACCAACCACCAACACCAAAAAATGAGCCAAACCCAAAAAAACCAAGTCAACCCCCATGGACCGCTACCCACAATAGGCATGATACTACCAATCGCCGGAGGATCATCAATGGAGTTTCAAACGAAAAAGCAGAAAAATGACCACCTCCGCCTGGTAAACAACGTAGCAGTCCAAGGCCCAGCAAAATACATAGATTGGTCCAGAGTCCCAATCACCTTCACAGAAGAACATCTCCAGCTAGAAAGCTACCCTCACACAGACGCAATGGTAATCAAGACCAACATAACAGCATGGGAGATAAGCAGAGTACTGGTCGACACTGGCAGTTCAGCAGATATCATCTTTTCAAATACCTTAGACCAAATGAAGCTTAGCAGAAATCAACTACAGCCCTCCGAATCCCCTTTGATAGGATTCGGAGGCAAGCAGATACAAGCATTAGGAAAAATCTCACTCCCAGTGTCGTTTGGAACCCAAGCAAATGCTAGAACCGAGTACATAACCTTCGACGTCGTCGATCTGTATTACCCATACAATGCCATCTTGGGCAGAGGATTCACGACTAAATTCAACGCAGCCCTGCATATGGCCTACTTGTGCATGAAAATACCAGCACTCCATGGTATTATCACAGTCCGAGGCAGCCAGAAAGAAGCAAGAAACATAGAAAAAATAATCTACAGAGCCCAAAGAAACATCAATGCAGTCGAGTCGGCAGACAAAGAACTAGAGCCTCCGGATATGCCCAGAGGAAAAACAGATATGGCAAGTCAAGAAGAGACAAAGTTGACCCCTCTAGAAAAGGAGTTACCAGACAGAAAAGTAACAATCAGCTCAGAGTTGAGCAAAGCAGAGGAGGAAGAGCTCATGGAAACTCTAGTAAAAAACAAAGACATCTTCGCCTGGTCAGCCTCCGACCTACAGGGAGTCAGCAGGGACATCATCAGCATGAACTGGATATCAATGAAAACATGAGGTCAAGAAAGCAGAAATAGAGAAAAATGTTGGAGGACAGGATCCTGGCAGCAAAGGCGGAGGTGCAAAGGTTGCTAGATGGAAAAGTCATCAGGGAAGTCAAGTATTCAGAATGGCTTGCAAATGTAGTACTGGTACCAAAGAAGAATGGCAAAATGAGAATGTGCATAGATTTCACAGATCTGAATAAAGCTTGTAAAAAAGACCCTTTCCCATTGTCAAGAATAGATGCCTCCGTCGACAAGGCAGCCAGATGCCAGAGGTTTTCTCTCCTCGACTGTTTCTCTGGGTATCACCAAATCTAGATGAAAAAAGAAGACGAAGACAAGACAAGTTTCATCACTACATTCGGGACATATTGCTACACCAGAATGCTAGAGGGCCTCAAAAATGCTGGAGCAACCTTTGCCAGAATGACAAAGGAAGTTTTGGGCTCACAACTAGATAGAAACATCATAGCCTACGTCGACGACATAGTGGTCATGAGCAAGAACAAGGATGATCATGTCTCTAACTTACAGGAGACCTTCGCCAACCTCAGGACAGCTGGCCTCCGCCTCAACCCAGAAAAATGTATATTTGGAGTTACAAAAGGGAAGATGCTCGGATACATCATAAGCAGTCGAAAACATTGCAAAATATCAGTCCAAAACCAAGAAGTGGAGAGACTCTCAGGTGGTAAGGAAAGACATAAAACATGGAGACCTCGTACTCAGAAGAAAACCCAACGCACAACTTGCTGGCAAACTACAGCCGAAATGGGAAGGCCCATACACAGCAACGCCAGCAGGCCGCCCGGGCTCTTTCCACTTGACCAACAGCGAAGGTGTCACGACAACCCACACCTGGAATATTGACACCTCCGCAGATACTACATCTAGGCAATGTACCAAAGGGCAACCTCCGCAAATAATAAGCGGAGGCCCCTCCATTCATTTACCTTTCAGCTCTTTTTTTCTTCAAACCAAAAAATTGTAAAAGAGCCTGTACTCTTTTCCTCACAGGGTAACTCCAAGCGGAGGTGAGGTTTTTAACGAGGCAGGCTCAATGTAAAAATCCTCTAGAAGTATAAAGAGGTAATTCCCCAAAAGAACGCTTGAAAAGTTCAACACCGAAAGCGGCCAGCTCTGGCGCCAATAATATTCGTGAACAAAAAAAATAAGCATGTGTCCTTTCAAAGCACCGCCACGGGCATTGGCAATTTGAAACGACCTCTATAATAAACCTGGCCTTCGACCTTGACAAAGACCTGTCCAAATTCAGGCATCAAGGCAGAAACCACCTAGGCTAAACAGGCCTCCGACCTTGACGAAGACCTGAACAAATTCAGGCATCAAGGCAAAAACAACCTTGGCCA